TTAATTCTTTAAAGAGCCTATTTCCAAATATAGTTACATTCTGAAAATTCCTTAGGTGTCGGAACACCAACATAGACATTTCTGGAAGGGATACAAAGAGTCCATAACTGCTGGCATTTTCTCCTGACCACTCTTCCCTTTTCCTCTTTTGAGACCACCATCACACCATGTGTGTATGCGTGTGTTGTTCATAAACATTAAAATTTTTTTTGTTGGAATATAAGCAGATCACTATCCAGTCGGATGACCTGAGTTGAACCAAGTGTGTTCTTGACACCCCTAAAGACTTCCTAGAGTCTCTAGCTTCTCATCCTCCTCATCCTCCAACTCTGTTCTGTTGTCCCCTTTACACCTCATTTCTAGCCAATGTCTTTGCCTTGGTAACACTTTGGTGCCTTCCTCCCCAACACCTATGTGGGACCTGCTGCTCCCCAAATATTCACTGTTGATACTGACGTGGCACGTCAGCGCTCAGATCAATGGCAGCAAGGCTGCCTCACACAGAGTCGGCATCTGGAGATGCCAGTGTGGCATATGTCTTGCAAGACGACATGTGAGCTGGGATGGAGGGGGAGAGGTGATTGGCACATTTACGGTGGGGAGCTAATTCATATTGATGGAGAGAAACCTCGGAGGAGCTGAGTAATACACTTTCTTCCTTAGTCTGGTTTCCATATTCCGTGGCTGAGATGGGCAAGGGAAAGAATGGGCTTGACTCCTGATGACTCTAAGGAGCTCTGGCCAAAGGACACGGGTAGGATAAACCTCACTCTCTGGGTGGAGGGCAGCCTTTCTCCCAAAGGGGCCAGATCCAGGGGATGGTCAGTCACTGTGTGATGAATTGCTCTGTAGATCAACAGAACCCAGACCTTGTGGCTGCTTCTGCAAACTAAGATGGTAAGGGACTGCTGCTGTATGAGTATCTGGAAGTGAAACACGGTCTGAGAACTATGTGGGTGGGGGAGGGAGGAGGGAGAAGATGAGTTTTCTGACATCCATGTGCAAATGACTTGTGTGCACGCTCAGAATTCTCCAGCTCTTGGGCTCAGTTCCAAAGACACCTACAGTAGGGAGAAGCATTCTGGAGGGGACCTCTGCATGGCATTTAGAACTGCGGCATTTCCCTTTCTCCCCCACACACAGCCTTTGCCACTGGGGAGCCTGCTGTTCCCCTGGGCATCTTGTGACTTTCACCCAGCCTGTGATTTTTGCTCCTGAATCTTCCTCGGCTACCTTGGATAACCCTTGTCTCATTCTGTGCCACACAAGAGGAAACCTCCCAGCATTCTCCCCCTACTCACGACTCCCTTAGCAATTTCATTCTACCTTGAAGGACTGGCTCCCTAGGTCTTCTCCAACCCCCATCTCTCCGAGACTACCTGGTCTGCATTTCCAAGGGGAGGTTTGCTTAGACAGGAAGGCCTCAGCCTTGCCTACCTAGGTTAAGAATAAACCAGGAATGTGGCTTAGCTGGTCAAGTGTAGGGGCACAAGTTTCAGGTCCAAACTGCCATTCCCAACAACTCCAAAAGAGGCCAGGCATGGTGGCATGAACTAGTAATCCCAGCACAGAGAAGGCAAAAACAGGGAGATCTCTGGGGATTGCTTGCTGGCCAGCCTAGTTGAAACAGAGAGCCTCAGCTCCCAGTGGAAGATTCTGCCTAGGACAACAAGGTGGAAGATGGCTTTACCATGCCCAAGGTGGATCCACGCTTAAACCTCCCTCCACCTCACCAACAGACACACCAGAAGAGAAAATCAGGCATCCTTGAGAAGATTTATTAACTGCCCAAACCTGTGTTCCCCCACACACACACCAGGCCAATTAGAAAATAATTTACAGGAAGAAACAGTATATTGATAGTTTTAAAAGTTGTATTTTGTCATCTTACTCAAGTAGAATTGTCTCTCTTCTGACCTCCCACAGAATTTTGTGTGGACGGCTTGAGAAATCTGATGTTTCTTAAGTCTGGCTCGAGAACCAGACTCCGAAGCCATTGGAACTTGAACAAGTTTGTTTATCTCTCTTTACCCCCATTTTCTTAACTCCTTTCCCACCCACTCCAAAGACAGGGTTTCTGCGTGTCACCCTGACTATCCTAGAACTTGCTCTGTAGATCAGGATGGTCTCGAACTCAGAAATCTTCTTGCCTCTGCCTTCCAAGTGCTGGGATTAAAGGTATGCACCATCAACCACCGACCAATTTTCCTCATCTTGAAGATGGGCCCGCGAGCTTAATTCTAGCACATCACGAGGACGGTTGAGAGTTAACAGTGAGTCTCGAGTCTGGCATATAAGAAGCCATGACTAAAAGTCAACTGTTGGAGTTCCGAGTCCTCAGTAAGACCCATGAACGATGGGCTTCTAACCCAGAGGCTTCTGCCTATATAAGGATCCTCTAGAGTGCTGGCTTAAAGCCACCAGTAGGACCTCCTTTCCAGGTATTGTGATCCCTAAGTCTGCAGATGAGAGAGAACCTGGTTTCCTGAGACGCTCCAGTTACTACACTTGCTGAGGGTCTGAGGACTCAGCTGGAGTCACCGATGAATCCACCCCAGTCTTCTTCCCCTCAGTCACACCTCAGCCTGGGGAGTGTCCTGAAGCTAACTTTAGATCTTTGCCGGAGAGTCTAGACTTCAAACCCTGTTCCCCAACAGCCAGCTCGGATCAATTATTAACCCAGCTCCCCCGGGCTTCATAACTTTCATTCTCCAGGCTAGAGTCCAACTGCCCCTCCCCTGCCAACACAGAGCTCCCAAGGACTGAGATGACTTCTAAGGCAAAGGTACTCCAATCACCCCAGTCCCTGCAGAGGCAGCACCCACCAGCCCTTAAGTCAGTGGTCACAACATGGCACAGAATTCCAAGACTTGCCTTTCAGGGCATGCTAAGGGCTTACCATCCCAAATCCAAAGACCTGACCCTTGAAAGGCTCTAGAATCCAAGCTTCATGGTCACAAGTACGACACCACACGTGGAAAAATTCACGTCATGTAAATTGATTTCATGCACAAAATTGTTTTTTTTAAAAACATTAGGTTACCTTTAAGCTATTTGATTTAGTTTTTATTAACTTTATTTTATATGCATTTGGCCTCAGAGCTCCTAGAACTGAAGTTAGTGCTACAGAAGGTTGGGAGCTGCCATGTGGATGCTGGGAATTGAACTCAGGCTCTTTGGAAGAGTGGCCAGTTCTCTCAACTGCTGAGCCATCTCTAGGGCTGGAGGAATGGCTCAGTCATGAAAGGCTAGGCTCACAACCAAAAGTATAAGCTATTTTAGGAAGTTAACATAAAAAATATAAATGAATTTTGTTTGATACACTTGAATCTTATCCCCATGATGTGTCAATATTCTAAAATCTGGACAAAGAAATCATCAATTCAGAATACTTCCAGTGCCAATCATTTTTGATAAGGGGTCTTCACTCTTATTTGAGTGAAAGAGACTGTTTCTCTCTTTTTTTTTTATTTGTTATTGATTTTTATTGAGCTCTACATTTTTCTCTGCTCCCCTCCCAGCCTCTCCCCTCCCTATTTCAACCCTCTCCCAAGGTCCCCATGCTCCCAATTTACTCAGGAGATCTTGTCTTTTTCTACTTTCTACTTCCCATGTAGATTAGATCTATGTAAGTCTCTCTTAGTGTCCTCATTGTTGTCTAAATTCCCTGGGATTGTGGTTTGTAGGCTGGTTTTCTTTGCTTTATGTTTAAAAACCACCTATGAGTGAGTACATGTGATAATTTTCTTTCTGTGTCTGGGTTACCTCACTCAAAATAATGTTTCCTAGCTCCATCCATTTTCCTGCAAAATTCAAGATGTCATTTTTTTTCTGCTGTGTAGTATTCCATTGTGTAATTGTACCATGTTTTCCTTATCCATTCTTCAGTGGAGGGGCATTTAGGTTGTTTTTAGGTTCTGGCTATGACAAACAAAGCTGCTACGGACAGAGTTGAGCACATGTCCTTGTGGCACAATAGATGATTTCTCTCTCTCTTGCCTTGCCTCAGGGACCTAACAGAACTCAACAGCTGCCTGGGTTCTGGGTATTGTTTCCTGTATCCTGTGATTTAAATCCCTCCACTTGTCAGATTTCCTCTCAAGGGAGCTGCAGTAGCTGCAGTGGTTCCACACTATCTGCATAACACCCCCCTACACACACACACACACACACACACACACACACCAGCACAGGGCTCCATCCTGGTGCTCATGACCCTTATTATGGCTTTCTCAGTGAGAGGGGTGTGTGTGAGTGTGTGTGTGTGTGTGTGTGTGTGTGTGTGAGAGAGAGAGAGAGAGAGAGAGAGAGAGAGAGAGAGAGAGAACATGCTTATGCATGTATGTGCATGTACACATGTGTGGAGACCAAAAGGCCACTTTATTTCATGAGTCATTCTCTCACATTGAACCCAGGCTCACCAACTGACTGTACCAACAGACCAGGGATTTCAGGGGTCCACCCGTCTCTGCTCTTACCCCACAGTGCTGGGGTTACAGACACACGCTGCACCGTGCCCTGCTTTTACATGAGTGTGAGGGATCTGAACTCAGGTCCTCACGTTGTGAGGCAGCCATTCCACTGACTGAGTTGCGTCACCAGCCTGAATTGTCTTTCCTGGGAAAGGATCCTGACCAGGCCACCACTGTGCTCGGCCCTTCCCCTGAGCTGGGTATTTGGCTCTTACCTCTGTGCAGCCATGCCGTACAGCTCAGTACATTCTCTCTTTAAACTCTTCATTTCCATTGGAGCTGAAAGCCATTAGACTAACTACTGTACACATTATTATCTCGTGAGTGAGTTTCCTCAATCAGCTTTAGTGTGTGAGGTCAAGGCCCAGTGAGCTGGAATCCCAGCTCTTGAAGTGGCTCTCCACCCAAACAATGCTACATCCCCTCCTTCTCGCATCCACATAGCTCCCAGAGGGTTGCAGTTTTGTATCAGTGGAGAATGCATTAATTAAAGCCAATGCAAATGCTCATTTCTTGTAATGAATTTAGCTTTTGCAGGCCATTTTCTTTGGAGTCGCCTGCCTGGATGATGTGCTGAAAAGAATCAGAGGAAGGAAAAACATCAAGTTCATCACATCCTTCCGAGACCTGCTGTTTACCACCTTGGCTTTTCCTACATCCACAGTAAGTGACAAGTGTGCACCTAACACCATAGGCATGTACAATGGATAGGCACTTCTCCTGGGACAGCAAGATTGTCTGGGGACTAGCTATTATAACCAGAGCATCTCCATTTCCATAAATGTGCTGTCTGGACTACATGGACCAGTGTCTTCATGAAGTAGGGTACATGACGGATGAGCTTATCATTAGCTTTCTGTCTTTGGGAAGGCTTGGTGCATGGTCCTTGTTGCTGTCTGATGGGAAAGTTTAATCAAAATACAATAAAAAAAAAAGACAGTCTCCATGTTTGTGGGTTTACACAAATTCAACTAACTGCGGATCAAAAAGATGTGACGAATGAATAAAAATCAAACTAAAAATACTTATAGCAACCACATAACGTTGACCTTGTGTTGAGTATTATAAGCAGTCTCTAGGCGAGTTAACACACACAAGAGAGTGTATATGAGTTCTAGACAAATGTGATCCCGTTACATATACAGGACTTGAGCATCTGTGGGTTGAAACATCCTTGTGAACGCTAAGGGATGACCATATCGGTGAAGACAGGCTTGCTTCCCCCATGTTGGTGGGAAGGACAGTACTAGGTGGGGAAGATGACCCCTGTCTATACAGGAAAGCTATCAAATAAGAAATAAAAGATGTAACACCTTCAAAGTTGGTCCACCGAAAAGACACATTATGCAGAGCACAGGGCAGGCGCTTCCTCCGCTGTGTCTGATGAACAGAAACCAGGAGGAGCAAGCCGTGCCCAAGCAGAAGTATGCTTGTTTGCAGGTGCCACCCACATTGCTATTCCATTGTTTGTGCTTCCACTCATTAAGTGGGATGGAGACAGACTAAGATCACACACGCTTGCTGTGCAGCAGGGCCCGGGACTAGAAATCACTACCGTCATGGCATGTCATTTGTATTTTAGTAAATAAAACTTTCCTGAAGATCAGAGAGTAAAACAGCCCCATTGGTCAGCTGTACACACCAGGCAGTGGTAACACGCACCTTTAATCCCAGTAGCCATACTAGTTTGCCATAGAAACCAGTCTCATTCTCGGTGCTCTTGGTATATGCTTAGATGAGAGAGGGCTCATTTGTGACAAAGGACTTATGGTCTATGCATCTTTTTTATCTGTGTCTTCTCTGCGTGCCACAATGGCCACTGTTGCTCCTAACACATTGCCCTCATCAACGCATCCCCAGAGAGCCAGGATGCACTTGTTATACAGTAAGCATTTCCCCTTTCGTTTTATGACCCTAAAAATGTGTGCACGATAGCCTTCAGACTGCCATCAGTTTTATGCTGCTGTTTCCTCGGTTAGCTTAGAAACCTCCGATGAAAAACAAATCTCTTTTGTGTTTCCTTCCAGTTTGTATTTTTGGTATTCTGGGGCCTCTTTTACTATGATCGAAGTCTCGTTTACCCCAAGGGCCTGGATGACTTCTTTCCAGCATGGGTTAACCACGCAATGGTGAGTACAGAAGGTTAGTGACCACCAACGCGAGCAGCTTCTGCACCGAGCACTGAAGTGTCTGTGTGTTTCCACCCTGCTCTTGGTGCCCTCCGGGTTCCTCCTGTCTCTCCATCCTCTCGGGATTTGAAAAGCAACCTGGGGGTGCCGGAGAGATAGATAGCTCAATGGTTAAAAGTACTTGCTGATTTTCCAGAGGCCTTGGATTCACTTCCCAGAGCCTACATGGTGGCTCACAACCATCTATAGCTACAATTCCAAGGGATCTGATGCCACCTTCTAACCTCCGTGGACACCAGGTATGCGGGTGGTGCACAGACATACATGCAGGCAAATGCTCATATACTCAAAGTAAAAAATAAGCAATTTTTAAAAGCATACTGAGGATGTAAATGAGTGGTATTGCTGCAGAGGGAGTCCGCTGAAAGCAAAGATGGAGAGCTAAATAGTTATCATGTTGCCTAGGAAAGTCATTTAAAAGTTACTCTACCAGGAAAGGCGACCTTCGGCAGTTCTGAAAAAGAAGTGACTTCTGCCCATGACTAATAACAAAATTCATTTCCAGGAATGGAATAAAGGAAGGTTTAAACAAAATCTATCCACATGTTCAAATAATATGTTCCTCCAAAGGGCAACGCAGTGACCAGTAACAGAGATCCCTCCAGGACCATACGTCACACACAGGATTAGGAGTAAATGTTTCCGTGTGGTTTATCCAGTCATCGGTTCTTCACTGACTACTGTTTTGAGGAGTTAAACAGAAAGCAGAAGCTGCTCTAAGAAGTTCAGGTCACTGGAGTCTGAAGAGTTGGCTGTGACCCAGACATGCAGGGCTGACCAAGGTGCCCAGGTCTCCACGGTGCTGCTGTGCCTGAGTCCTTAGAGCTGTGGGTGTAATCTCCCTGGGCAGTCCTAGCTCAGTTTCTCCACACTTGTAGATGCATTTCCACTTCACTGGGCAGTTTAACAGGAAGATTTCAGGTTCCAGGAAGCAAGACATACACAAATGGGGAGAACTTGTAAGGGCTTAAAACTCCCAAGTCTACCTACAACTTTCTTCTATCCTTCAAAGCGCCCATTGCCTCAAAATTCATGACAATCAATGAGGAAAAGCTTCACTGCCTGCTAATACCTCCCCATGGACCCCATGCTCAGAAAACACTGTTTCAATATTTTTCCTGAGAGAGATACTGGCCATTGACTGAGTTCCATGGTTTCTTCAAGGTTCAAATCTCTGTGTTAAATAACCCCTTCTTCCAGTGTCTCCCCAGTTTTCATTAGTATTCATGCCTTCACAGTGGATATTCCCAATGTGTGTGTGGGGGTATATGTGTTTATGTATATGTACATGGGCATGCAGGAGTGTGTGTGTGTGTGTGTGTGTGTGTGTGTGTGTGCCCATCAGAGATTGATGCTGAGTGTCTCTGTTGCTTTTCTCCGCCTTATGTTTTAAGACAGAGTCTCTCATGGACTCTGGAGCTCACTGATTTAGTTGGCTTGACTGGCCAATGTGTTTCCGGGGACACACATACCCCAGTCCTGCTGAGTTTACAGCCACCTTGTCCAGCTATTACCTGAGTGCCCAGGGACTAAGCTTAGATCCTCACACTTAGAGAGCATGCTCTTTACTAACTAAGCCGTTTCCATCCCCCCCATTTTTTTAAATGTCATTACAGTGTGTAAAACATATGAGCTGATTTAATCCACACACCCTTCTGTAGATAAGTACCCCACAACTTTGAGTTTTACAAATGAAAAAACAAATAACAGAAACACCATGTCACCTGCCTGGGGCCAGCAAATTCATCATCCCTGGCTCACCTAGGGTGGTAATCCTATAATCTGATGCTAATTCACTGTTGCCTTTTACCAAGCTTACATTTCACCAGAAAATCAAAACGAATAATTAATATGGCAAAGTAAGAATCTTCACTTAGAATAAAAAACATCCAGACTTCCCATTTTATGCCAATAAATCATAACTTAGAAAAAGCGAGGGGACAGGAAGCATACACCCACTGGGGCTGGATGCTACTGCCATAATTTACAAAGCGGAGTCTTGAAAGTTCTTTCTCTCTGGAGTCAAAGTCTCTCACCAAGCCCAATCCCCAGGCTTTGCAGCTCTACTGCTGCCTTTTCTACAAGGACTACCAGCTCCCTCCTCTTAGAGTCCCTCTTTCTACACTGGCTTGGAAATCTTCCAGCGTGTTGTGATGGCGATGCCCAATCCGAGTGACCTTGATAAGTAAACAGCCATATGGATGCTTGATCATTTGGGAAGTGAAGCGCTGGATAAGAATGTACATCCTATCCATGAGCCAATTATTAATAGTAAGACGAATCCTGGAGCATGGCGACGCTTAAGTACTTCTGTGCCCGCCCAGCCTGGGAGAGCGACATTAGTGATTCTGCCCCTTGCCCTTTGGTTGCTATCACCTCTATCCCTTAGGGAGATCAGGCAAGAGTCAAAGGAGGTGAGCAATCTGGATTATGGGAGAAAAGGAGGGGGCAGCCTGCCATGGGTTAGACACTGATGTTTCCAGGTTTCTCTTCGCTTAAAGGGAGAAAATCCCTGCAGAGCCATCTCCAAAAACGATACAAAGCAGAAACAAACAAAAGACTACACTGCCCAGTTCATTATAAGGGATTTGTAAACCCAGCTTCTGTCCTCTTTCTTTTGGCCACGAGGTAGAGGTAAGAAATTTGGTGTCACAGAGCAGTGTGGTGCATGTCTTTAATCCCAGCACTCAGGAGGCAGGAACAGGTGGATCTCTTTGAGTTTGAGTCCAGCCTGGACTACAAGAGCTTGTTCCAGAACAGGCTCCAAAGCTACAGAGAAACCTTGTCTCAAAATAAACCAGAGAGAGAGAGCGAGAGAGAGAGCGAGTGCTAGCTTCCAGGAATGTGATGCTACTTTTCCATGACTCCAAAAAGCAATTTAACGAACTGGTCATCAAACGGAAGCTCTAAAGCCGTGCACCCCATAAACCCTTTTATCTTCCTAAGCTGTCATTGCCGGCGTTTGGAACAGCAATGGGAAGCTGAGTAGCTTACTGGGTCACCTTGTCAGAACTTCCCATTTTACCAGGCCCTTCTAAAACAACCTAAAAAGATGGTTCAGTGCTGGGAAGCCGGGACCAGAGCGCTGACAGGCAGACTTCCGGACATGGGGCCTGTGTGCTTCTGTGTGGGGCCAACCTGCTCCCTGGAGTGATTCCCTTCCTGTAATGCTCCTTCCTTCTGCCATAGAATAACCGTGACATCATCAGAGCCCTGTGCTATAGAAAGGCTCCTTTACAGCATCCCTTATGCTGACTTGGTGCTAGCTTTCTTTTTGTCATAGTTTTCTTTTCCATTTCAGTGTTCTTGGTTTTGTGGCACTTCCCTCTGACACTATATTTCTAGATGCTTCGGGACTAATTGACCCTTTGCCACCTTCCTGCCTATCTACTTCTGACTCACTGGAAGTTTGTCGTTCCTGTAGGACCATGCAGAGCTGGCTCTCACTGTTGTACTCAACAGACATTTTCCTGTCCCTGTTACATTTTCAGTCCAAGCAGTAACCTGGGAGGGATGTTTGCATCCTTTTGGACAAACTGCCTGAGCTAACTTTAGGTGAGGCAGATCAACGCGACTGTGTTATTGCTGAACAGTTCCCTGGCCTTCATAAAAGAAGGAACAGAACAGCAAAGCATTCGTTCAGGTTTTGCCAGAAAAGCATTAACTCTTCAGGCCTTATCTAAACGCTTACTAAAGATAGAACCAAAGCAGACCGATTTAAATAGCAGGAAGAAGACTCTTAGAAACTGAGAAAGAAGGACCCCCCTCCCCCACCATCCTGCATTGGAGGGGAGCTGGGGAAAGCATTTCTCCGGAAATCAACCTGAATTGTCCAAGTTGGAAAGAGGAGTGGAACAGATCAGAGTTTCTCCTAAGCTCTGCTGCATTTGAAAACCAGGCATAATTATCTAAAATGTGCCCGAGCACTTTCCAAACAGCTAAAGACTGCATAAATGGAAGTCATTAGCATGTAAAATATGAGGATCCCAGCCAGGACCCATCACACTTCTCTTTATCCACAACCACAGTCTGAGGCCCATAGGCTCAGTCGGTGTGAACGGGGCTTAGAAACAACCTCCTTTCAGAAAGAGCCTTTCCTCCGGCTCTTTGAATTAGAGGAAGGAAAAAATATGGCTCCTTAGTTACTGGATATGTTGTCGTTTGCTCATTTGAAAATAATTATTAAGCACTGTTACGTGTGCGGTGCCATCAAGGTTAGAATATCAAGTGCCCCTCTGGAGGACACACGTGGATGGATGGATGGATGGATGGATGGATGGATGGATGGACAGACAGGCCCTCAGTTATGGTGCTGCTAAGAGATTCCTGAGTTCATGGTTGAACAGACTCTTAAGAGACAGGCTGACTTAGAGGAAGTGGGCCAGGGGAGTGCGCCTTTGAAGAATGTATCTTGTCACAGGACACTGCCTTTGGTGTCCCTGTTACCTGGTTGCTATGAGGAAAGCAGCTTTGTTCTGCCCAGTTGTTATGATTTATGGCGGCAAGACCCTGGCAGGTCCCCGTGCTGGTGTGGGGGACTGAGATCCGCCATGCAGAGAGAGCTTGGGTATAGAATCCCTATTGAGTCTAACACACACACACACACACACACACACACACACACACGCACGCATACATACACACATGCACACACATTCATGCACACATATACACATGCACCCACACACGCGCACACACACGCACACACGCATACATACACACATGCATGCACACATATACACATGCATCCACACACGCACACACACATATGCATACAAGCACACATGTATACGTATACACACACACACACACATAAGGAGGGGGAGGGAGGAGATAGAACAGCAGTGAATGCTAAGACAAAACACTGGTTTAGAGAATAGCATGTGTTGGTATGTAATTCTTGACTAACAAGTGTGTCCTGGGCAGTTGGATAACCTAGA